GGGACGAGGGAGGGAGGGAGGAAGGGAGGGAGGGAGGAGGGGAATGCGACGGTGATGAGAAGGGAGGGAAGCGGTACCCTCGGGTGATCGCCAAAAGGACGAGGAGAAAGGAGAGGAAAGATGGGGCAAAGGAGGAAGAGGAAGGGAGGAAAACGAAATCTTTACTTCTTCAAGGGCTTCCGACTCTTCTCATCGTGGCCGTGCGAGAGAACAATCAGGTCCTTCGGGAGTTTTCGCACCTGGCGAGGAGAGGAAGGGAAGAGGGGACCATGGAAATATCCAGAAGGGGATGGGAGGGCAGAGATGATGACACGGGAGGGGAGGTCGACGTGGAAGAAAGTGAGGCACTGAGGGTACATGCACCAGGAAAAAGGGCAAGCAGTTGGGGGCGCGCCCGAGGAGGAAGGGGCAGGTATTCCCACCTCCTTCTCCTCCGCTTCCTGCCATTCCTCCGGGCTGACGCGGCTCTGAGTGCACAAGAGGGTGCGGCAAGACTCGACCTGTTCTTCTTTCCCGAAGACGCTCTCAGGGTGCCTTGATGGGAGAATGAGGGAGAGGGAGGGAGAGAGAGAGAGAGAGAGAGAGGGAGAGGAGGGGGGGGAGAGAGAGAGAGAGAGGGAGAGAGGGAGAGAGGAGGAAAGAGAGTGAAAGAGAGAGGGAGACAAGAAGAGACAGTGAGAGGGAGGGAGGGGGAGAGGGAGAGAGGGAGAGACAGAGAGACAGAGAGAGGGAGAGAAAGGAGAAAGAGAGGGAGACGGAGAGAAAGAGAGAGAAAGAGAGATAGATAGGGGGAGGGGGGGGGTAAATGGAGAGATATTGATACAAGGAGCAGGGAATGAAACAGTTTCTGCGCCCCTTTGTGGTTCCTGCCCTCCTCCCCCTTTCTCACCCTCCCTCTTTCTTCCTCCCTCCTCCTTACTTCTGAAAGACGATGTCTCCATCCCCCTCGAAACGCTCGCCCACTCCTCCAGGGCCAAGGAAGTAGAGGATAGTGGCTGAGGAGAGAGCACCGAAAGACGGAGGAAGGAGGGAGGGAGGGAGGGAGGGAGGGAGGGAGGTGTCATGTCATGCACGGGCAAGAAGGAGGAGGAGGGCGAAAGCAGGAAAAAAATTGAGATGACCAACGG